AGTGTAAATCCCAACATATCTCTAAAAGCTGTATCAGGTACTTTAAAAAAAAAAAAAGCTTAAATTTTATGATAATTATTTCATTGAATTAGGTTTATCCTATGGATCAGTGAACCGAATAGCTTAAGCTAATTAGTTTCACGCATATTTGGCGTCTCTAGTCGAGAAACTTGAAAGCGGTGACGTATAAACGTCGTATACAATTTGTCGCCAATATGATGGTTAGATTTTTACTTATGGGGATATGTTAAAAATTAAGTATATAAAGAACCATTGGAAAACATACAACTCAAAAATAAAATAACTTATGTGTGTCAAAATATTCCTAAGCAAATATTTTTAAAAATGCAACCTCTAGTAAAGGCTAATAAGCTATAACTATGTAATTTATATTTTACACCAAGAAGGCTTCAATTGTTGCCGTGTTAAGCAAAAAAGCAGAACTCCAACTTGTGGCATTTTGTGGGTATGGGGTGTATATAGCAGTTTTGTACAATTTTTCGAAGTAAAAATAGTGAAATTCCATGTTTAAACTGGTTTTACGTTTTTAAAAATAAATATAAATGCAGTAAGTTCACATTTATTACATTTTAGACACTAAAACGCAGTTAATCCAAATTAGAAGCAAAAAAACAGTAAATCCATGGATATCACAATTTGTATTTTTATTCAGTGGAGACACAGTGTTTTTTTAATATTCAAAATGTATCATCTCCATAAATTAAAATTATTGACTAAACGTTTTTTTTATAATAACTATTTAATTTGTTCAATTATTTTTCATTGTATTTTCCACTCATATTGATATGAAAATATTAATTATCTATGATTGTTTAATTAGTATTATTATGATAAGATCCTCGGACTACCGTCTAGGTGAGGGCATACACCGATATAAAACCGTGGGTAGGCAGGCCCAATAGCCGACATGGTGTACCTCGTGATGGGACAAAACGGAATTGTATAGGTGCTAGACATAAGAATTTCGGAAACGTTCAACAAACATCCCAAGGCAGAGAACGACCCAAAAGTCGTTGGATTAGAAGTGGCCAGCGGAAAAGTATGTATCGTTGTCTCATTGGGTAGGTTATATGTTCCATTGAGGACTTTAGTTTGCCCATACTAAATTTCGCCATAATATATAGGTGTCTGTCTAAGCTATCTTATATTTTTATTTCCCGAAAAATACAAGGATCTAAAAAATTTGTAGAAAAGGATGTGTTTTACGTAGCACTGATCAAAAAGCCCTTCGGAAATTCGTTTCTTTTAAAAATGTAAGTTTCGAACATTGATTATTGTTAAAATAAATTGTTTTCACATGAAACGTGGTTTTGAAAGCACAACTCCAACCGTAACAATTTAATGATTGATCAGATCGGATGGTTATTTTTCAAAAGTCAACTGGCCGTTTTTCTCGGTTACCAAAAACCGCCCATAATGTATTATAATAATTACAATAATTTCCAACGTGGATGTCGATGTTCCGTGCCGTGAAATTAAAATGACCAGCGGCCCCTAAATTTATCGGCCTTAACAATAGACACTGGGGTATTTTTTTTTTTAGCTTAATTAAATATTTTTCTCACAAGCCTTTTAATCATGTAGGTTAGGCACTACACCTATTCATAAATAGTTTAAATCGTATATTATAATGCATCGCATTGTAAAATTAAAATTTTTGGTTTTAAGATATTTTCTAAAGTGGAGAAATTAAAATGTATAATATATATTCATTTTTTTATACATGCTAGGTAACCAAGGAATGCGTTTTAAACAAAAATCTCAAAAACATACATTTCGTGTAAACTATAAAGTATCTGGATTGCTACAAATACTTATAAGGACAACAAATGGTCAGTCACAAGTTAAAGTTCGAGCCGGCAGTGCCGTTGAAACGCCGGGACAATATCGTGAGTTCTGATTATACCAACGTCGAAGCGTTTACGCCGTCGTACAACGACAAGTGCACCGATCCGGATATGTTTCTATTGCTGTCCATGGACTATCAGCGAACGTGGATGATGGAGAAAAATGCATATCTCAAAACCGTAAACGTGGAAAAGGAAATACCGAAGCACTGGATAAGAGGGTACGCTGCCAAACACCAGCACAGGATACCCAGATTAATGTTGCCGGACAAACCCGAGTTCAAAGGGCTAAAGAAATACGCCAACGTCAAGTCTAAACTGTTGCTAAACAGCAAAGCCAAGACTTTACAGGAAGTGTGTGCACCAAAGCCGATGGAAACTAAATGGAAATAAACGGCTGTAGTACAAGAGAGCAAATGAAAACGTTAAATTTATTGTTTTGTTTTTAGCTGTGCAGGAAACAACTGCAGGCGTTCGCAGAATCCCAATAAAATATTATTAACTCTTGAGTAGTGTTAATAATTAATATGTACCTCCATTAATATATGGGTACGTATGTTTGTAGAGCATCAGTAGATAACGATCTACCGTATTTTAAGCCCTAATGTCTAGTTTAAAAAATATTCCCTAATGAAGACGAGCTAATCGTTGCCCATATTGTTCAAAAACTCTAATCGGTTCTAATGTTTCTAAAAATGAGTCGTTCAAAATTTTAGATCATTCCATAAATTTTACCCGGGCCTCTTAAGTTAAGTTGAGAAGTAATTGAAAAACAAAGCTGAACTTTTCGCTACAACTTATTTTTTGGTCAATCCACAATTATGGGAGTGTAGTCTTTGGATAGAATAATTTGAGAAAATTGAAATCTGTCTTTTTTTTTTTAATATTTCTCGAACAGATAATATTTGATTTTATTTAAAAAAATGATCTATCCTTGTGTATTTCATAACGCAGAATAGAAATACGATGGTGTAGGTAGATTTTACATATCATATTAAGTTTTTTTAGATATTGAGATCAAACCTACAAAACATTATTATTGACACGTGATGTTTGTTTAGTAACTCAAAAGTGGAGTTCTCGCGATTACTTGCATTAGAAGCTTCGATTTATGGTTTGTTACACGGAGTAACATTTTCCAATATTTTGTTATAATTAATTTGTTATTTTTTATTCATAATGAGTTATAATTTATATTGTGGATTATCTGTACAAAGTTATACCTTCTGACAGCAACAGTCTCACAGATGTAGATGACTTTGATGACGAGAATTACAAAAATCACATTCCGAGGCTAAAAATGAATTACTCATGAAGAGTTTCATAAAAAAATTAACATAGAGCCTAATGGAAAATAAAAACTTCAAAGCTCATTTTCCGAAAGTTGCAAAAAGTATCATTGGCCCTTCTTGCTCCAAGCCACAGATATATATTAAACATTAAAAAAATTGTTAAAACGAGCAGGCGCGTGGCTAGTATTAGATAGAGCGGCAGAGTAATAACGCACATTATACAGTTGCTTCATAAATAAAATTACTAAATCATAGATGGGATTGTGTGCAATATAGCAATATACCCCAAAACTACTATGTACGTCAGAATTTGATTAATTTTTATTTATTTCAAATATATTTTAATAACAATGTAAAAATCATTAAGTCTTTTAGTGCTATTCAAAAGTAAGAAAACTAAAGGTTTATAAGGTCATATAATATAAATTACCTAACAATATATTATTATGTATGTAAATAATATCATATACAATTTTTATGAATATTTAAGAATCCCTGTTTAATTTGCATATTTGAGTATCACAATTGACATGTCAACATTTATAATAAAATAATTTTACCAAATTGCAAATAGTACTATTTTTTGTGTGTGAATATTTATAAATGTACTATCATGTATCATAAAAAAATAGATCTATGCCCTATGGAACTATTGTGTTCTGGGTACTATATTTATCTATGATGCCGGGGAACACCAATAATCTTGAATTTTCAGCTAAGTACTTCATATTTATTTTGAGTCAACATTATATTAAAGCTTTATTGTGTTTTAAAAAATATTATTATCTTTTTTTTTTAAAAATTGTAATTTTTTTATGGTTAGCAGTATTTTTTGTTGCAGGACTAGAAATGCTAAATCAAAATCTCAAAGCATATTTCATAAGTAAGTTTTAAATTACAACCACTATTATTTACATGAAATGTTAGGATAACAAAAAAAAATATTAACTCGTACTTTAATTAACTAATAAACATTATTATTTAATTTCAGATTTCCTAGACAAGAATATTATAGGACAAAATGGCTAAATTTTATTTCAGCAAATACAATTAACCCAGCTGACGTCTCTAATAACAGCGTGATATGTTCTGTACATTTCCAATCACATTGATCAATGTATTTTTTTTTAAATATTTTACTTCTATTATTATTTATAGAACTTGTACAATTATAAATTACAGACTATTGTTGTCTCAATTATTATTAAATGTACATTTGTAAAGTCTGAATTGTGCAATTATTATGGTCGATTTAATATTTAATAAATTATTAGAAATATTATTTAATAGTACCAACATCGAATTTACCAAAAACCCGTCAAGAGACCTAACCAGAGACCTACCTAACCCAATCCTAGCTGCAAGGATAACATTTGCATTAAACGACAAGAGGAGTTGGTATAGTTGGTAAACTTGCAGCACATACGCCATCTTTTTCCAATGATTTTTCATCTACTTTAGATGCCACAACAAATGGTGGAGCACATTCAAAACAAGCTGATTCTCCAGGTACGATATTTTGTATACGTCCACAAAATGTATTTTCACTAACACCAGATTCAAACCATTTTAAACTTAATTCATTGCATGAAGAACTTCTCGCAAGAATGTCATAATTTATATACCTACCTATATGTTATTGTCATATTTTATTAGCCGTATATTATAATACTCAATGGGTTAATGTGAAAATCAATGACTCCCAGAACAGATGTTAACAAACAAACTAAACTAAAAAAAACAATAGTTGTAAACAAACAAACATAATATAAATATTGATTCAACATTTCAAGTTAGAATTTTTAAACCGGACTCGGTTACGTTAAGAAGTTAAACTTAAATGGCCCAAGTCAAGGATTGCATGGAAAACATGTTCAAAGTATGTCTGTTAACTTTTCAACTATTACAGTAAGAGCGCTAAAGGTGAAAAATATTATGTTCGTGTAATTTGTAGTGCGCCGGAGCAAGAGATGGAATACCAAAATCATGTGTACGCAAGACAGCCAATTACAAGAGCTGTAAATGTAAAAGTACAATCTGTCCGACTTTAAAGGTAACACGGGGGTGTACCTGCTTATTGGGGAAAACCCATTTTTAGGTACTTTAGTTGAAAATCTTGTCGGTCAAGTTTGTAATAAACTTTAAAAAACGTATACAAGTAAAACGAAACAAACAAATTAAGATACATGATACGATGAGACGGATTTATATCTAAACAAAACTAAAACATCTAACAAAGAATTAGTTTAAGAAGTAGGTGACATTGTTTTATAACATATTTTGATTACAGCTATAATGTCAATTTGTTTAATGGCGATATATTATAACATGAATTCAAACAGGTGTTTAATTTTTTTAACCGTCAAAATAATCTAGCTGATTTGATGTGTATAGTCAAAGCTAGTTAGGTACTGTTTTAACAATTAAAATGTAAGTGCAATAGAACAGACCATATCCGTAAATCAAAAACCAACCATTGAAGTCTTAAATCGTACCTATGTTATTATTTAACATGTCCTTTGCAACAAGTACCATCGTCGTCAGAACGATTGACGTACCTACTTGTTTGAGGTACAATTTTAAATACACTGCGTTATTCCAAAAATAAAATAAACACAGATTATTAAACATGTGTAATTGTTTTGAATTTTGAGTAAAGTTATACTATACATGTTTTCTATTAGATTGAACACTTCAATTATTTTGTAATTTTTTTCTTTAGAACTATAAATATGTCCAGCCGAAAAGATCAGATTCCTGTAAACCTGTGGAGGTGAGTAAAAAAATCAAAATTATCAACCAATAACACCTATTATTTTCTTATTTACCCAGGTACATCTATTTTCTGGTTCAGGTGCTAAATGTCTGCGACCATCCGTTCGACGAAAACTCCATATACAGCAAATCCTATCAGTTTCACGACTCAAACGCTATTTCTAATTCAAGGCAAAAACCTGTCATCAAACAAGATAATTTGAAAATGGCCGGCGAGTTTAACGGCGTCTCTGTGCAAATGGTTCGTCAGCCCATAATTTTTTTTTTATATTATTTTATTTAACGAGACCAGGGTTGGCATAAAAAAGCCGGGGCTGTATTTACATGTAAAATCCCACTGAACTATTGAAAAAATAAGTACTTGGAAAAATATTATTTTTCTGTAGGTTTGTTAAAAAAAACCCAGATTTTTGCCAACTCTGAACAAGACCCTTAAAACTAATACTGGCTGCTAGAACAAAATACAATTTAACTAAAAAAAAAAAACCATTTTGTACATTTTGATTAAATAGTTATTTTTACACGTTTTTCAATCTAAAGCGTGACTAACGAATAACGTTAATTTTTAAAAAGAAAATTACTACACTAGTAGAGGATATAAGTTTACTCGTTCTTTGCTAATTTTCTTTAAAAAAAGTATAACGCATTTAATTATAGCATTGGATTAAATCTATTTTATCCATTTTTCTTCAAATGTGCTCTATCAGATTTTCTAGTCACCCTTAATTTTATAACAAAAATAACACATTTAAAATTACTCATTATGCATTAAATAAATCCATCAATTTAATAACAAAAAAAAAAATACATTTTTTTACCAAATATAACAGTTGAATCGGTCATTTAAAAAACGACATAAGTCACTGATTTTTCAACAATTCGTTTTTGTCAAATTTGATAATTTTATACTTAGTTACGTATTCTGTGTGAAAACTAAATTTGTCAGACTCATATTCCATACAAATGTTGAGGACAAGAAATTAGAATCACTGCAAAAACTAGTTATGAAGTTTTTTGTGGCTAGTGTAACATTTCAATTTTGTAACTTGTGTCGTTTTTGGAATGACCGATTCAATTGTTTCCTCCATTAAAAATGTAATTTTTTAGCTTGTGAAATTATTACATCTAAGACACAAATTGTATTTTTTTGTAAACAAATCGCTAAATATGCCAGGTAGGCAAAATTCTGGGTTCATCCGACTAAAAAAAAATTAAACTATTAGAATTCCCTCCCCCCCCCCCCGAATTCAAATAGTTTAAATTTTGAAACATGTAATAAGTAGCTTTTTTTGCAAATTTTAAAAAGCAACAAGTTTATGTGATAGTAATTGTTTTGATTACTTCGCTAGAAATATTTATTAGTAAAAACTGTACCTATATATTGTATATAGCTAAGCTACCAGAGGCCGTGCGGGTCTTTGGTACAGAAAATCAAACCGAGAGATCACAGAATGATGGGCGAAGGCTGCATGCGGTTGTTGACTACTCAAAAACACGACTACTACGATGTGCAAAAGGACTGCAAACGGGAAGACAGCATCAAGCGTCACGATAACTTGTACGTGCCCAATTGCCCGATGGACTCGCAAACCACCAACGCATTCTCTTACAGGCCCGTTGAAATTTCTCCGGTCAAAAATTGCAAACCACTTCTCAGGTATTTACTGTATTCATAACCAGTCGCCATTCGTCAAAGATTGCCAAATATTTGTATTTTAAAATGTCCTAAAAATTTGTAAAAAAAAAAAAAAAAAGGATGCCTTATGAATGCTTAAGCATTCACATCTTTTAACATTGGTGTTTCATTTCAGTTATACCCAACCAGCTGGCGATATGAATCTCGAGACGGTTACCAAAAACAGCTATAGACCACATGAAATACCAGAAAAGCCGGAACTCCCGTGGGCCGTTAGATTGGAATACTGCAAGCCAAACGCTGCCGTTGAATGCTGTACGGTTTATAACGAAAGGTAAGGTTTTCTATTAACGGGTTATCGTTTGTGATATTTATAGTAAATATTATATATTATGACTAGTACTTGTATCATTAGCATACGCGTCTTACAGAGTTTAAATATTGTTTGTAGTTACGCAGAACCTGGCAAGTATGTCCTGGAGGACGGTTGCGAAAATGTCGTCGATGAAATAACCGGAGCAAAAATAGGTAAAAACAATTTATTTATTAATTACAGTAACTAGCAAATCACGTTTGGTACGTTATAATTCGCTCAACAGACGAAGACTGTTGTCCATTCCATTGCCTAGCCGAAAACTTTGAAGACCTAATAAGATCGCCGCACGTCAAAGCTCACGAATTTGAAGATTAATCGGAAATATTTGCTACGTCTTGTTAAAACAATTTTAGTTATTCTTGCTAACTAACATTTATGATTAACATACAATATGTCTAATAAATATTGTGGGAAAAGTATTAAAGTTGTTTGAGAAAGCTATTGAAAGTGCGTGAAGATGTTTTTCATAATTTTACGACATTTTATCAATCCTAATTGTTGGAACCGATAAAAAAATAAGGTAAAAACTCTTATAATAACCATTCAGAATTTAAACCATTTTATTACGCGGGTGCATTTTGTAGCTAAAATATAAATATATATTATTCTATATACAACCGTTTAGATTTTAGTGTCAAAATAACTATAATTATAAAACAAAAACCATTCAACTAACTCGGTTTCATATTAAAATTTAAGGTAAAGAAGTTGAGTGTTTTTATAAGACTAGGATGCTTTATTTAATAATTTTGTACAAAGCATAAAGATTAAAATTTAAAAATAGAAAGGAACCAAACCCAAATACTTAAACGTTAAGTTAAGATTTAAATTAAAGTGTACGTTATGTTAAGAAGTTTAGTCATTTTTTGTCCGTAAACAAACGTGAGTTTGATGTTTTAAAACATTCTTGGCAGGAAATCATTTGACGAGATTAATGAAATTTCGACCAAACCTAATATTTTCAACTCGATGAAAGCAATACATGTCCAACATTAGCTAATGACTAATACTTAATATCACAATTTGGTAAAAAAAAAATGAATAAATACATAACAAATAATAATTGACACTACGTTAGAGTTACGCCTTGGATCCAAGAACTCAAATCTAAGTCTGCACACTCTAGCGGCTTATCTTCACGCTGTGAAATCAACACATCATTTCGGCTGCTGCGTAACCTGATAGATAAGCTAGCTCCATGAACAGTAGATTAGAATCGGTTCTAGAATATGGTTCTTTTATCTAGTCACCTTATACTGTTGGCAATATTAGGAGACTAAACCGGGTCCAGAATAGAGTTTTATGTTAGGGCCGACCTAACTTTACTTACCCACCCACCTAATGCCATAGAGGACTAATGAAGAAAATTCGATTCCAAATAGATAAAGTTAAAACAGAGGAAAAACAGTTGTTCTTACGGAATCCCCTTACAAAAATTACCTGAAAACAAAAACAAGAATGGGTATCCATGTAGTGAAAAGAATTTATACAACAATAGGAAAAATAAACCTATAATAAACAACAAAGTTAAGAAGGAAGTCCATCTATACCAAATAATTATGATGATACAGAATCTCCTGATGCTTGTTATTTTCATCTAGTTGTTTTGTTGCGAAGTTACCCTGTAAATGATCTCAGTCTTCTGTTAATTATATTCTATAATATTATTTTTTAAAAACCCAATTTTAAATTCTTTATAATTGTATCCAGATAATAATACACATAATAGTGACACGAGCAGTTTAAAAAAAATAGTGCACGATGCGAACGAACAGTCTTTCTATCTAGAAACAGAGTTTTAGTGTTAATAAATTATGGTATCATTATTTGATCTATTTCGTTTTAAAATTCAAATTTTAACCCGAAGTGTTTCGTTTTAATTTTACAGGCGTTTTCTTTGCATTTTTGGCTGTCATATACTTGACCATCCGTATAGACGAAATTTGTTTCTTCTACTTCACTGTCATATTCCATATAATCGTCCGCAGTTTACACTGCCACATTTTCACCATTATTTATTCCAATTCGTCTTCAAATTCAATTTCAACGTCGTTTGTTTCAACTAGTATGCACCGAAATTTGTTATTAAATTTCTCATTTATTTTAAATTTTTTAATGTCCAATAAAAATTGTAAATTAGTGATTATTACATGCATGTAATAATAGCCAATCTCTATAAGATAAAATAACAAAATCAAAATATGAACTATTAATAGAACAAGTTAGTCCAAAATCTGTGCAAAATACTTGTTACTTAGGTTAGATTTTAGAATTTTGGCTAGATTTTTCGTAGTTATAAAATTAATCACAAGAGACAAAAATGAATATTCTCATAGTCAATTTTACATAGTGGCGTTTCCTCTCCCTTCCTGTCCTCATTCCCACGCGCTTCATAATCAGCTTTTATTCTTTGCTTTTGTTCTCCGTTCCTTTTATCATTTATCCGTCTCATAACCTAAAATTGCATGTACTTGTCTTATACTCAAATATGCTTAACAAAATTATTAAAATTTTTTTCTCTTTTTCGTCGTACCAAAATTCTCAATTTTCATTTTTCTTTTGTCTTTGTTTGATGTTTTGCCATTGCGGCAGTCAATTGTAAAGAACAGCGAATAAAATCAGTTGTTTTATTTTATTCAAACATTGTGTTGTTTTTTCAACCAACACTTCAAATGACAATGCGTCGATCTTATACCTCCACGTCTGAGTGAATCAGCAGCCACACGCGTAAGTTCGCCAACAACATTGTGTTGCTTGCGAGGCCGCCCAAGTCGTCCAGATTCATCGTCAACCGGCAGCTCGACATTACACATCCTCGAGGACCCTCGATCATCGCCACGTAATTTTAAGTTAGTTTTAAGTGCCACCAAACTTTGTAATTGTGCCCTGTGGTCATTGCACCAGACCGAACCGACCACAGGGACCCCCGGCCCCATAATTAAACCGAATTATCCCGTTTCCCTTGTATAAATTGTTTCCTTTTCTTTGATCACCCTACCCAACGTGCTGTGTGTTCGTCGACGTGCGGACACCTAACGAAACAGCGAGGCCTATTAGAAATTAATTTACGCAATTTTTTTTTGTTAAGCTTATTACTAAGTCATTGGTCCTTCGTCTATCTCTTCGTTAATTTGTCTTTGTTCTATTTCGTAAATATCATATGTAATTCTATAAAGAAAGGTTTAAATGCTCAAATCACAAAAATGAAAGATGAAAGTGGCCACTCAATTACGGACGAAGTGAATATTATTAACAAGTTTCGTATTCACTTTAAGGATCTCCTAAATATAATTCAAGATAATGATGTTATAGAGGAAGATATCCCGCTACGCCATACAGTACAACCATACATCACTGAACCGGATAGAGAAGAGATAAAACACATTATAAAAATTCTAAAGAACAACAAGGCCCCTGTTGAAGACAACATAAATGCAGAGCTAATTAAAATATCGACTCCAGAAATTTTTTCGAAAATTTGTATATAACTAAGAAAATGTAGAAAAATGGACAAATCCCTCAATATTGGAGAACGGCAATAATCTGCCCAATCTAAAAGAAAGGAGATCAAATAGACACAAAAAACTACAGAGGGATTACTAAACACATGCTATAAAATGTTGTGTGCTGCAATATTACACAGACTAGAAAAAGACTCATAGGACATAATAGGAAAATACCAAATTGCATTTACAAAAGGAAAATCTACCACTGGCCACATATTTACAAAGAGACAAATAATAGAAAAAATGTATGAATTTAGAAAAGAAGTGCATATATGTTTTGTTGACTTTAGCCAAGCGTATAAAAGTATAAACACAGACAAACTATGGAGAATCTTAGAAGAACTCAAAATACCAACAAAATTAATCCAATTAATAAAAGAATGCAATACCAACACTGCTTGTAAGGTCAAATTCCAAAACCAATTATCGGAAAGTTTTGAAGTTAATACGGACTTGAGACGAGGTGATGCGCTGTCGTCGTTGCTATTCAATTTAGCCCCCGAAAAAGTGGTAAAGACAATGCCGGCACGTCAAGAGATAGAAATCTTAGTGGAAAACACTATATACTTGCGTATACAGACGACATTGTGGTGATGGGTAATACACGTGCTGAGGTAATCGAAAAACTGACGATCTAATTAAAGCAGCCAGGCCAATGAGTCTTAAAATTAATCAAGATAAAACTAAATATATGGTCGTCAGCAGAAGAAACGGAAATATAGCGGAACTGATTGTCGGGGGTTACACCTTCCAAGTGGTAAATAGTTTTAAATACTTAGGTACAAATATAAATAAATCAAACTATAAGTTCAAAGAATAACTTATACCTGAGTTATCTACGTCCAGTCCTAGCATATGGCTGCGAAACAGGGGTCGGTGATAAAAGGAGACGAAAAGTAATTATTAATTTTCTAAAGGAAAGTACTCCGTAGAATCTATGGTCTAATTTGCTGAAAATGGAGAATACCGAACAAGAACGAACGAGGAAATATACCAGCTATTTCTAAAGCCAAACCTAAAAACATTTATCAGAAGCAAACAAATAGAATGGGCAGGGCACTTATGGAGAGATAATGGTATCTGTATACTGATAGGTAAAATCAACGGTAGAAGACCCGGAGGCCGCCCTAGGCAAAGATGGATAGAAAAATTGAAAGCTGATCTGGTAAAGGATGCACCAGGAACGGAGCTAGAAAAGAGTGAAAATGGTGGCGGGAAACAGTTGAAGTAGCAAAGCCCTGAATGAATTGTAAGATTTAAAAAAAAAAGAAAATGTAATTAAATCTAAACTAGAAACATTTGAGTATTTCTTACTTATATTATCGGTCTCACCCCTTATAAGGCACCCCTCCCACGATTTTCGCAAGATTTTATTATTAATATACATAAACTCTGTAATTTACATCAATAAAACTTTATTGGGACAAAATTAACATATTTATATTACACCAATTTATAACACATTGTAGACAAATTCAATATTCATTATAGACAAAACAAAAGTATGTGGAACAAATAGCTAAATCCAAAATATTAAACAAACAATTAAAAGTCAATATTAAACAAACAAGACAAAAACAATATACATATTACAAATAAATACCCTTATTTATTTGTACCAATTACGCCCGAGTGGTTTTCACCGTTTGAGGAAGTAACCAGGCACCTTGAAATTCATGACCATGTTCATTGCGCGACTCAGGCTTCGGTAACGAGGGTGGTGCAGGTACTGGTCGGCCATCGAGGCTGCTGTTGACAGGATGTATGATGTACGGTAGGCGGGCGTGATGCCGTCAAAAATGACGTAGA